AAAGATGCCAACCCAGCTTCCAATGCAAAAGATGCCAACCCAGCTCCCAATGCAAAGATGCCAACCCAGCTCCCAATGCAAAGATGCCAACCCAGCTTCCATTGGAAAGATGCCAACCCAGCTTCCATTGGAAAGATGCCAACCCAGCTTCCATTGGAAAGATGCCAACCCAGCTTCCATTGGAAAGATGCCAACCCAGCTTCCATTGGAAAGATGCCAACCCAGCTTCCAAAGCAAAGATGCCAACACAACAAAACTAAATGTTCCCACAAATCATGACGATTTTCACGGACAAATTATTTACGGTAACATTAGCATTGACCTACACATATTTTTTTTAAACAAATCATTTTTCCGTACCAGTCAATGACTCTATGCCAAAAAACGAAATATCCGCAAGATTATCTTTTCTATGACTCTCTATATCTGTATGACTCCAGTCTCTATAGCATGAGGCCGTGTGTCATTATTTGTCAAACGTATTTTATAATACAGCAATTCATACCGTTTTCACGCATGTTATATTTCTGGCGTCTATGATCCTGCCACTTGAAGGAAACAACCCAGACTCCCAAACGCCGAGCTTCCAAAAATGTGCTTAACATCTCAGTGTTTAATGGCATCCGACAGGTCTTAAGGTATTTCAGAGTGGTTGTCTTTTAAACTGTCCGTCAATTGACGGACGGTTTCCAACACTGGTCTAACGGTGACAGTAAACTAAAACAAAAATGTCTGGTCTGCTGACCTGAGTAGAGCTAGAATGACCGCCATTTCCTCCTGCACGTGCAGCATGCTGTCCGCTATCAGTGGGATCACGTGGTGTCTGTTCAACGTCAGGAACTCTTCCGTGCCGCTCAGCTCGGCAAAGTTTTCACGTACCACCTGATGGAAATGAAAGGGAGTCCGGAATTTTTGTTAGAAAGTGAAAGTTCAAGGCCGACAATCAGAACTACGGCCGTGAAAGGTCACCCTAAACCAGGGGGTCTCAAATTTCCTGCCCGTGGACCATTTGCGGCCGGCAAGACGATATTTTGGGGCCCGCTTCATGACAGCAAAGTTTAGTGTTAATGCTGCCCGCGCGTTTCCCCCATACTCATATCTATAAGGTGACTCTCCACGATGGTTTCAGTCAATCTAGTCTAATTCTGATTATTTTTTATGTTTGTATACAACGTTGATTATAATGGTAAAACCCGTTTTAAAATCGAACAAATTGTTTTATTTTATAGCATTTATGAGAGAAACATGGCAAAAGTGCGATTTTGAGAGAAGCTTTAAAAGTTGGTTATTAGGGAATGCACAACCGTTATATTGTTTTAGCAATCTGACATAGTATTAAAGAATCTCTATTAAAATTCCACCTAGTGTGTACAAGTGAGTGAAATCCCGAGCCTGTCAGCTTTCGAAATAGGGTTAGTCAAAAAGGCCCTCTCTGCGATAAAAAATAAAACTTCCTTCTCCCTACACTTAGCATCTTTCTTCGCATCAATAATTCATAAATATGGCCTGCTCCTGCTCACTGTTAAAACACGTTTTAGCCTTCAAAGCCTTCATGGAGAAAGATGGGGTTGTGGTTCCAGCACTAAGTGATCCCAAATGGCTCATGGATTTGTCTTTTCTTGTTGACATTACACAGGAGCTGAATGTACTGAACAAGAAGTTACAAGACCAAGGTCAGCTTGTCAGTGTTCCCTGTGACAATTCTCGAACATTCTGTACGAAACTTGTGTTATGGTTCTCAGAGAAACCTCTGCCATTTCCCAAAGTACTCATGGACTCGGGCACACCATTCAGTAGAAAGTATACTGATGCCATGACAAAGCACAAGGAAGAATTTGATCAC